CTAGCCGCAGCGCAGGCCCCCCCTTGTCTGTTCTAGCCGCAGCGCTCGTCCCCCTAGCCAATTCTAACTGGAGCGTTCGGTCCCTAGTCACTTGTGAAGTCGACCTAGGGAAAATGCCTTAACACCGATGTACTCTACACTCTATTATTCTTTGTGAATTGGTGAGTGGTGCATCACTTTTTATACTGCTTACTGAGAAGGTTTGAGTGGATTTGAAATGAGTTCAGATTGTTTCCATTATTCACGTATTCATTCATTCTTCATTCTTTCCGAAAAAAGGGACTGTTTATAATCACACAGACACGTCCCATTAAATATGTTTGGTTGTGAAGAGAGGTTGAAAGTGTTGCTGCTGAGATGTTTGTCCGTAGGACGGAGAAGAGTTTGAAAAGAAGGACGAGGGAGGACAGGTTGGACAGGCTGGGGAAGGATACAAGAAAGGTAAAACACTGGTTTAAAGGAACTGGAGACGTAAATTCAAGTGACCCTTTATTTAATTAGTTCCATGCCCGATTCACGTAAACCTGAGCAGTAAGCACCTAATTAGAGGATATCGTCGTTTTTCTATCTTAAAGCGTGTTCATTCTGATTATTTCCTACATTGGGTAAATGAGGATAGTTCATTCATTACAAAATCTAGCATCTAATTCTGTAAATAGAGGCTCACTTCAAATTGCGTCTTTAGTCCCTTCAAAGTTGAATTAAGATGAAATTCCCAAGATTTCCATAATATCAGTTTTCTAATTTTTGCATGTTAGTTGTTCTAAACAATTATTTAATGCACACACCAGGTGAAGTAGTATTTTATACATTTAATCCACATTGAAATCAGAAGAATTAACAGTTTTAATGAAAAAAACAGTGCTTAGGATACGGCTGAAGTTGTAATATAAAAATTAACGAGAAAAAAATTTAAAATTCTTCTTTTTTTATAAAATCTTACAGAAATGTTTATGACTTGAATCCGGATCTGGATATGTGTCCATTTCTTCAGGGCGGATCCAGGATCAGGATCCGCGTCATAATTTAAAGAATCCTAAGCACTGGAAGAAAATAATCTTTGTAATGCATAGAAAGGGGATCATAAGTAGGATACTGAATAGGTTAGTAGGAACAGGGTAGGATACTGAATAGGTTAGTAGGAACAGGGTAGGATACTGAATAGGTTATTAGGAACAAGGGTAGGATACTGAGTAGGTTTAGTAGGAACAAGGTAGGATACTGAGTAGGTTCAGTAGGAACAGGGTAAGATACTGAGTAGGTTTAGTAGGAACAGGGTAGGATACTGAGTAGGTTTAGTAGGAACAAGGTAGGATACTGAGTAGGTTCAGTAGAAACAGGGTAGGATACTGAGTAGGTTTAGTAGGAACAAGAGTTGGATACTGATTAGGTTCAGTAGGAATATGGGTAGGATACTGAGTAGGTTCAGTAGGAACAAGGTAGGATACTGAGTAGGTTCAGTAGGAAAAGGGTAGGATACTGAGTAGGTTTAGTAGGAACAAGAGTTGGATACTGAGTAGGTTCAGTAGGAATATGGGTAGGATACTGAGTAGGTTCAGTAGGAATATGGGTAGGATACTGAGTAGGTTCAGTAGAAATATGGGTAGGATAGTGAGTAGGTTCAGTAGGAATATGGGTAGGATACTGAGTAGGTTCAGTAGGAATATGGGTAGGATGCTGAGTAGTTTCAGTAGGAATATGGGTAGAATACTGAGTACCACAGATATCTAGACGACTGAGAAAGTTGTGCATCAGATTTTTAAACCGCTTCGACTTTCCACACCGCCTTCAGTGTGGGTTTTATTTGACTACATACTTTTACTTTTTTGTAGCGTTAGATAATCATAACTGCAATGTGTTTGTTTTTAGCTTTAGATTGAAAGAAATAATTTGCATATTTTGGTTTTCAATTGTAGGATTAGTAGGAACATAAGGTAGGCTACTGAGTAGTTTGGATTAGTTTTGGTAGGAAAATTGGTAGGATTTGGAGCTGAACTTTTAGGAAAAATTAAGGAGCAGGTAAGGGATCAGCTAGGGCAGGGTTCCTCCCAGAGTAATTTTGGGTCAGTTTACCTGACCTAACTGACCTGCCACTTTCAGATTTGGAAAACTACTACAAATTTTAATATACCCTATTAGAGAACAAATCTGCCAATTTAGGGGAAAAGTCTACCAAGAAAAGGCCAATTTTTGCCAAAAATGGCAATCGAGATATTCAGTTTGTAACATTCATTAATTTCATGAAAAATCTGCCCTAAAGTGTGCCACAAATAATGGTTTGGCACATAAAATCTGCTACACATGCAATAGAAGATCGGAAAATCTGCCACAAACAAAATCTAAATGCATTAAATACACTTATTATAAATGAGTTGAAAATCTGCTACAAAATTATGTTAACAGATTACAAATGCCACAAGAAATACCCTGAAACTTAAAAAATTATGTTATGTCATAACAAATGCTACCTGCACCCCCTATATACAATTATATTCTACCTCCTCTCGTACGTAAACCTGGGGGTCGCGGGGTGCAATTCAAACTGCCCTTAAGACCGTTACACACAACACCTTAAAAAAAATGCCACCTTTATTATATAAAAGCATAAAATATGTCTCAAAAATATTTCACACATACACTTAAAGTTCAGAAAATATCCCACAAAAAGTATCCAAATGGAATCACAAGGAAAGGCCACAAATAAAATTTTCCACAATTGCAATAAAAATTGCATAAACTAGGTCACAAAAATATTGTATAATTGCATAATATCTTCAGACAAGGGACATTATCTGAGATAAAAAATTCAACTTGCAAATACAAAGTATCTTCTCAATAGCTTGTGAGAGAACGAAGCAACGTTCTTTAACAGGCAAAATATCTCATCAATAGCTTTTAAGAGAACGAAGCAATGTTCTAAAACAGAACAATATCTTCTCAATGGCTTGTAAGAGAACGAAGCAACGTTCTAAAACAGAACAATATCTTCTCAATGGCTTGTAAGAGAACGAAGCAACGTTCTTAAACATAAAATTATCTTCTCAATAGCTTTTAAGAGAACGAAGCAACGTTCTAAAACAGAAAAATATCTTCTCAATAGCTTGTATGAGAACGAAGCAACGTCTTAAAGCAGACAAAATATCTTCTCAATAGCTTGTAAGAGAACGAAGCAACGTTCTAAAACAGAAAAATATCTTCTCAATAGTTTGTAAGAGAACGAAGCAACGTTCTAAAACAGAAAAATATCTTCTCAATAGCTTGCAAGAGAACGAAGCAACGTTTTAAAGCAGACAAAATATCTAAAATAAAATATTGTTAAGTTAAAATCAAATTTTAGCCTTAATTCATAGATTTTAACAACTTCTGAGGTTCTAAGTTTATACATGAATTATTTTTAATTGGATTAATCATTAATTATTGAGTAATTAGGATTGATGGCCAAAAACATTTTGCAACCCCTCACCCCCCCCGTGAACGTATAAAATGCCTTTTTTTGCTGATGATCAGGATCAGTATCAATACTGAGACTGAGAACTAAAGTTAAGAACAAGGATGAGAATATCTGTATGCTAGGGGGTAAGATCACGGCCTGGTACGCCTGAGATGTCAACAAACATGGTGATTAAGGAGATAAAAGAGATCCGGGATGGGAGACCGATGGCTCGTATTAGAGATACAAACTCTCTTCAGGTGATAAACTGATTCCTGTTCGTTCATCATCAGCAACCAGCATCTTATTATTGAATCCACTTGAAAATATTACTTTATTAATAAAAATGATAGATAGATCTGAAAGCCCGACATGAAACCACCAGATAAAGTCGAGAATTTTGTTGTTCATTAATATAAACCCTGCTTAAAGAGATGTTGCGAATATAATATGGATACTTTTTACTAAATAATATATGTTTATAAACATATATACATGTAACATATATATACATGCATTATATAAACTTCCTTTTCTCAACCCTTACCCTCAAAACTTATTCCGCTTCATCCGCAAAAGTTTGCAAAAAAAAATATAGTCATCTCGTGGAACTAAATTTTTTGTGTAAGATATCGCAAAATCGACTGTGGCACTAACTTAGAGCCCCAGAATGATTTCAGAAATTTATTTTGTTATAAGATAAAAGAAGCAGTCCATGTTTATGCCCTGGACCCGTACTTTCCATCTTTGCATCATATGATGGATCTAGGATCCGGATTCGCTGAAATATAGAACTGAATTATTGTATTTATAATATTTATCAGGAACAGACAAGAAGAAAAAGGAAAAACAGCTTTGATATTGATCATATCGTTATCCCCTACAGTATGCCTTCAACAAGGGTAGAGAAACCAAAGTATAAGGTAATAGCTTGAAAACCCTGCTTTGATATTGATCATATCGTTATCCCCTACAGTATGCCTTCAACAAGGGTAGAGAAACCAAAGTATAAGGTAATAGCTTGAAAACCCTGCTTTGATATTGATCATATCGTTATCCCCTACAGTATGCCTTCAACAAGGGTGGAGAAACCAAAGTATAAGGTAATAGCTTGAAAACCCTGCTTTGTCTAGGAGAAATGCTCCTCTATCAGAGCCGAACCACTTAATTTAGAATTTTTAAACCAAGCTATAAGAACAAATTCCCTTGGTTCTACCGAGGTCCCCAATCAAAACATAAGCAAAATCGGTTTACTTTCTCAAATTCCTTTTTTTACCTTTTGATAAAACTTTTTTTTTGCCTTTATCAAACTGCATGATTTAATGAACGGTTCTAAGTTCTTACACTCTGTTAAATAACCGCTTGAAAAAGTCTGAATGTGCCCACTGCCCGGCCATAGAGGGGGGAGGGGGGTCCAAGGAGATATCTCTGTTACCTTAAAATTATAAATTCATGAAATCATGAAAAACATCACATTTAACCGGAAATTTTCAAATATTTTGGCTAAGTCTGAAATTTAAACTTCAAATATTATATTAACAAAATTTTAGAACATAAGATAATTTTATTAAGAGTTGATGCTGAAGCTTAATCCGAGATTTAAATGTCAAGAAATGTTTTCACAAATTAAACATTTTCAGAAATTGATATTTTTTGTTATACTTCAAGTGTTATTAGGTCGCTTAGTACTTTATTTTTGGGAATGAGAATAAATTTTGTTATTTTAGGGTAAAAGATATTAAGATAAATAATAATTTTGTATTATCGGCTATCTTGCACAGTGCACATGTACAGAATTTCCAAACAAAAATATGAAACTTCTATAATTTTAGTCAGTAAAGTCTCATTTTTTTGCGTGGTTTTAAACCTTTAAGAAAAGTTTAAATCATAATTTTTTTTTACTGTTTATATTGGTGGATTTCGAGAATTTCAAACATCCGAAATTTTTTGAGGCAGTTTGTTTACCGGTCTGTTCTGTGTTCATGACTTTCTCCCGATTTTCTTACGTTTATTGGATTTAAACAAACATACAAGCAGAGAACCCAAATATTTTGTTCTTTTTATTTAATGACGCAAAAGGATTTCGCAATTTGTAGCTAAACTCTTTCTCTAAGATGGTCCTCTACATTTTGAAAGATTGCAAATCTTGTGATATTTCTAAGGGAAAAAAGAAAGAATAAAGGCGACATTCAATTCCCACAGTCTTGAGATATATACTTATTTTGTCAGTTTCAATATTTCGTGCGAAAACCGGTTATTTCAAGTTATTTGCATACTTACATTCAAACTTGTAATTTTCCCTCCATTTTATTAGGAGATCCAAACGCCTAGTTGGCGTGAAGTTGATAAACCCTACCCCTGGCCTCCTCCAGGATCCTCCAAGAAAGGATTGTCCCGGAAACCTCAGCCTCCGAAACCTTCAACTAGAGATCTGGAGTTTGAGGACATCAGTGATTTAACAATGAAGATTTTACACGCTCAGGTAATTCATTTCAAAGACGACATTTTCATACTTCAACTGATTTCCTCCAATGCAGGAAAGACCTTACTATTCGTTCAAATTGAATCTAACATAAATAATTTATTTGTCGTGAATTTTAATTATATATCCTTGTTTGATCAAGGTTTAAATGAGGTATCAGTCCTATTTGTCGCGTTTAAAAGTAATCATTTTTAATTGTCGTTCTCTCTTGAAGTAAACTNAGAAGGGGGGGGGGAATAAAATAATTTTTCAAGAAAACATACACCCTTGTTAAATAATTAACCCTGATTAGGCTGAGGAGGAGGAGAGGATAAGGTGGGCAACTCCCCTGGGCAGGGTTCATGGAGGACAACGCCAGAGAGCCAATAGGTAACAGAAGTCTGGGGGAAAAAATCAAAAGTGCGATTTGGATGAACAGTAATTTTTTTCAATGTGAGAAAGTTCCGCCAAAAATTGAGGCAGAGTTTTTTTACCAAAAAATTATCAAGAAAATTATATTTTCTCGAGCTTTAATAATATTTACTTTCTTCTTATCTTTTTATCTTTCTTTTCCACTTTTGTAACCTTCCTTTTCCCGCTCTACCCTTACTTAACTTGTTCTTGATTTCAGAGCTCGGAGGTTGGATTCTTGCTTGACAGAGGCCAGTAGTGGGGCAAACACACCCGACCCCCTCTCCCCAGGGCTTGTAGAGGACATCCTCGTTCAAACTAGGCCATCCTCGCCACAGGTGCAATAACAAAAAACCCTAATGTAACAATGACATGGTACATTTTAGTTCTAACTAATTAACCCTGAATAAAATTCGAATGTGAATTCAGGGGTGGGATTCAAGCTTAAAGTCAAATTATTTCGTTGTACTTTTTTTGGAAACATGACAATTTTTTTATTTAGGAGGAGACCATCTTAAATCCAGGGTCCTTACCATCTGTAGGTGCAACTTCTACCACTCCTTTCCCCCCTACAACTGCTGCCCCTCCAACTCCAGGAACTTCCACTGCTCCCCTAAATCCGGTAGGGGCAACATCCACTACCCCCCTAACCCCTTCACATTCCGCCCCCTTGGCTCCTTCGACGGCATCTTCGACAGTCCCATTTACACCAATAAACCTGATAAGTCCTTGGACCCCTGCCAGTGTAAAGAATAGAAGAAGAACGTCAAGTCAAACTAAAAGTCGGGACAGGAACTTGTCGGAAGCAAGTCAGCAGAGTCAAGAGTCATCCAGGTCAGTAGAATTTGTAAATTTTATGCGGATTATTATTAAAAACTTACAGCACGATTGCCGCGCAACATATTTTCATATAATAACATATTTTTATGCCAACCCTGATATTCAATCCTATGAGTATCTTGTATTTAGATCTACTAGTCCCTGGACTGTAGAGGATTATATTCAATCCTATCTTGTATTTAGATCTACTAGTCCCTGGACTGTAGAGGATTATATTCAATCCTATCTTGTATTTAGATTTACTAGTCCCTGGACTGTAGAGGATTTTATTCAACCCTATCTTGTATTTAGATCTACTAGTCCCTGGACTGTAGAGGATTTTATTCAATCCTATCTTGTATTTAGATTTACTAGTTCATGTACTGTAGAGGATTTTATTCAACCCTATCTTGTATTTAGATCTACTAGTCCATGAACTGTAGAGGATTATATTCAACCTTATCTTGTATTTAGATCTACTAGTCCCTGGACTGAAGCAGAGGAGTATATTCAACCCTATCTTGTGTTTAGATCTACTAGTCCCTGGACTGGAGAGGAGTGTAATCAACCCTATCTTGTATTTAGATCTACTAGTCCCTGGACTGTAGCAGAGGAGTATATTCAACCTTATCTTGTATTTAGATCTACTAGTCCCTGGACTGAAGCAGAGGAGTATATTCAACCCTATCTTGTATTTAGTTCTACTAGTCCCTGGACTGTAGAGGAGTATATTCAACCCTATCTTGTATTTAGATCTACTAGTCCATGTACTGTAGAGGAGTATATTCAACCCTATCTTGTATTTAGATCTACTAGTCCCTGGACTGTAGCAGAGGAGTATATTCAACCCTATCTTGTATTTAGATCTACTAGTCCATGTACTGTAGCATAGGAGTATATTCAACCCTTTCTTGTTTTTAGTTCTACTAGTCCCTGGACTGAAGCAGAGGAGTATATTCAACCCTATCTTGTATTTAGATCTACTAGTCCCTGGACTGAAGAAGAGGAGTATATTCACCCTATCTTGTATTTAGATCTACTAGTCCCTTGACTGAAGCAGAGGAGTATATTCAACCCTATCTTGTATTTTGATCTACTAGTCCATGAACTGTAGAGGAGTATATTCAACCCTATCTTGTATTTAGATCTACTAGTCCCTGGACTGTAAAGGAGTATATTCAACCCTATCTTGTATTTAGATCTACTAGTCCCTGGACTGTAGAGGAGTATATTAAACCCTATCTTGTATTTAGTACTACTAGTCCCTGGACGGAAGCAGAGGACTATATTTAACTCTATCTTGTATTTAGATCTACTTGTCCCTGGACTGAAGCAGAGGAGTATATTAAACCCTATCTTGTATTTAGATCTACTAGTCCCTGGACTGAAGCAGAGGAGTATATTCAACCCTATCTTGTATTTAGATCTACTAGTCCCTGGACTGTAGAGGAGGAAATTCAACCCTTTCTTGTATTTTTTCTACTAGTCCCTGGACTGTAGAGGAGTATATTCAACCCTTTCTTGTATTTTTTCTACTAGTCCCTGGACTGACCCCCCCCCCCCCTGGACAAATTCCTAAATACGCCCCTGGTTAAAGAAATAAAGGAAATTGAAATAAACAGAGTAACCGTCAGAGTAGATTAAAAGAAATTCCTTCCGTCTCTTTTCTAAGATTCCTGGTGCCCTGCAGCACTTTTAAACTTGTTTATCCCAATCCCAAATCTTTAATATACCATTGTTAGACTGTATTTCCAACATAACCTATAATTTAACCATGTAATAATTGTATTTAAAGAGTATAATGTCGACCTTGAAGTTTATCCTTTGTGGGTAGCCATGTACAGTGTACAGTGTACACTGTATATGTACACTGTACACTGTACAAGAGAAATTTTGTAGAGCAAATTGTTAATGCTTTTGTATATGCAGGTTCTATGTATTGGTATTTTCTCTTTATAAAGTTCGCACTTTGGGTAGTGTTACAGGTACATAAACTTTACAGTACACTTGCACTTTTTAATTTTATTATTATTATTATTATTATTATTACTATTACTATTACTATTACTATTACTATTACTATTACTATTACTATTACTATTATTATTATTATTATTATTATTATTATTATTATTATTATTATTATTATTATTATTATTATTATTATTATTATTATTATTATTATTATTATTATTATTATTATTATTATTATTATTATTATTATTATTATTATTNCGATTACGATTACGATTACGATTACGATTACGGTTACAGTTACAGTTACAGTTACAGTTACAGTTACGGTTACAATTACAATTACGATTACGATTACGATTACGATTACGATTACGATTACGATTACGATTACGATTACGATTACGATTACGATTACGAATTTTCTACATGAAAATGTTATTTAAGTCAACTTTATCCGATCAAAAAAGAAAAAAATTTCTTTAAATTATTGAAATTTTCGGATAAATTTACTTCAGAGAATATAATTTTCATGGAAATTATAACAATTTTTCTAAACCACTTATTTTCTCTTCATTTTTAATGATACGTATTTATTAAAAAATGTTAGTAATTTTCTACGCATCCATTAGATCCACTTACACAGAGTCTTTAGGAAATATTGATTTTCGTTTTCCCAACCTACTCACCGTTCTGATACATATTAGTAATATTTAAGGGACGATAGGACGTAATCTCAAATGACACCGCATGTTTACAGCATAGCAGGTCCGATTTACAACAGACTAGATTGAGATTATCTATATATATATTTAAAGTGGAAATCGCTGTTTAAGTGGAGAACCATGAGTGTATATTGTAATCTTTAGTCTCAATTAACTCATTTTTTAGAAATATTGGATAAGGATATCTACGTCATCGTTGCTAGGACTTAGGTTAAAGGGTTACAGTGTGATTAGCACAAATGGTGGTTCACTAGAAATTACATCTTGACAAAATGATGCATATGTACACTGGAGGCGACTATGAAAAGAACTAAATTCTTGTGGAACAATGTCTATGATTTAAATACCGAGCGGGGTGTTATGTTTATCAGGTTCCCTTGTGATGATAAAGTAAAATTACATCATGCTGTTCTTACAAAAAAAAAGAATTTGGATAGTAAAGTTTTCTACTTTAATTACCCTGTAAAGTTATAAATTAATACTTTGGAATTTTCATTCAACTCATTAAATTATATAATTATTAACTAGTGACTCTCTACAATCTATATTTCATTTATCATTTAGAATAATTTTACTTTTATAAGCAATTTAAATTTGCTTCTCAGGAAACATTGGATACATGGATTTTCTCTCAGATTAAACGTCACGACTATGGACGTCGTTTTCTGCAAGTATTGGACGATTTTTAATAATTACGGGGAATTATGACTGTGTCTTCTATTTATGTAAAGTAGTAATCTTTTTATGCTAAATCATAACCACTGGTCCGATTTGCCTAAAGTTGTTTTTGTGTGTTGACCTTTAAAAGAAAGTTGATTTATACGGTATGATGGTTGATTGCTTGTTTAATTCCGCGCAATTTCGTACAATGCCGCGTAACGGAACTCTGATTGAAAATCCTACTGGGCTTCCAAGCTATTACATAATAAATCAATAATTTGTCAATTTTGTTTTAACACTTGCTTTTCCTAGGACGATGATGAGGTTGAGGTTGAGGCTGATGTTGACACTAAGATGCGTCCTCCTCCTCCTCCACCTCAGGACAATGCGAGCACCCATACAAGCAGGTGATAATAAGATTCTTTTAACTCGGGTGTATATTTTTTCGAATTTTTGTTTTTGTTTACACCCCCGCCCCCCACTCCCCCATTTTGAAAATCTTTTTTTTTAAGTTCTGTAATTTATTGGTAAAATACTTATCTGTAAAACCTAAGCACTAACCTTAAAAACCTCTTGGTATGATATACGTAGTTTGTTCTTTACCAAAAAGTTGAACATACGGATTTTTACGTAAATTTACTCAAATATACGTATACATTTATATAGAGGAATTAGTATTTTTAGTCACTCATAATCCATATTATACGTTTATATATTTCTTTTCTGAATGAAAATTCCACGGGTATTATTATATTTTTAATTAACAAAATATTAATAATAATAACAACGTACAATCAATTAAAAAAAATCTAAGAACTCATTATTAAGCTTTTGTTTATAAATATATATTAGAGTATATCAAGGCTTTCAGACTTTTTTATCTTGTCACTTGGGATATAAAGTATATATTCTAGACCCAGGGATATAAAGTATATATTCAAGTACTAGGGATATAACGTTTATATTCTAGGACCAGGGATATAACGTTTATATTCTAGGACTAGGGTATTAAGTACTAGAACTAGGGATATAAAATATATACATATATTGTAGGACTACTTGCAGGAGTAGTAGTACCTGTGCTCTACTAGGGATATGAAGTACTGTGCTCTACTAAGGATATAAAGTATATACATTCTAGGACTTCTAGTAGGAGTATTAGTACCTGTGGTCCACTAAGGATGTAAAGTTCTGTGCTCTACTAAGGATATGAAATATATACATTCTAGGACTACTAGTAGGAGTAGTAGTACCTATGCTCTACTAAGGATATGAAGTACTGTGCTCTACTAAGGATATGAAATATATACATTCTAGGACTACTAGTAGCAGTAGTAGTACCTGTGCTCTACTAAGGATATAAAGTTTATACATGCTCTGTGCTCTACCAGGGATATTAAGTACTGTACTCTACTAAGGATATAAAATTCTGTGCTCTACTAGGGATATAAAGTTCTGTGCTCTACTAGGGATATTAAGTACTGTACTCTACTAAGGATATAAAGTTCTGTGCTCTACTAGGGATATAAAATTCTGTGCTCTACTAGGGATATTAAGTACTGTGCATAACTACGGATATAAAGTTCTGTGCTCTACTAGGGATATAAAGTTCTGTGCTCTACTAAGGATATAAAGTTCTGTGGTCTACTAGGGATATAAAGTTCTGTGCTCTACTAGGGATATAAAGTTCTGTGCTCTACTAGGGATATTAAGTTCTGTGCTCTACTAAGGATATAAAGTATATATATTCTAGGACTACTAGTAGGAGTAGTAGTACCTGTGGTGAAAGTGAGGACCCAGACTGGGAAGAAGGAGAAGGGGAAGACGAGCAGGTGAAGTTTAATTCAGGGGTGTAACCCCCCCACCCCCGGCGCTGCGGGGTCGAGAATATGATTTTTCATTAATTTGGGAAAATAAATTAAAATTTATACATCAAAAGACCAGAAAACTCGGGAAAAAAATTAAATTTCTCTGCGCACACATGCCTGGAGGTCATTGTTATCTGTGGATGGTTATTTTAAAAGTCGTCTTTTTACGGTTTACGGACAAATAAATTTTCCTAAATGCAGTGTTGATAGTTTTGAATATGTTGACTAATTAAGCATCCAAAATATGTAATACAATTTTTATTTAGTTTTAAAATCAATACCGCTTGTGGGGAAGACGACTTTTATTTATATTTGACTTAGGAATATGAAGCAACAGAGGAAGATCCTGAGTACACGCCTAGGAAAGGAGAAGAGGAGTAGACAGAAGAAGAAGAAGGAGGAGGAAATGGAAGATAAGAAGGATGAGGAAATGGAAGATAAGAAGAAGAAGGAAATTGAAAATAAGAAGGGAAAGGGAATGAGGAAATTTACTGGAAAACAGACACACAGAAGAGAATACGAATAAACAAAGTTAAACAACACGTAAAATAGTAATTGTGATAAAATAATTTTTCTTTTTTTGTGTTTGACTTTCCAGTTGTGAGTGTCACTTTGTAGGCAAGTGCATTTTTTCCTGAAGCGTCAAAATTTACTGTAATTAAGGGATTGCTTTTGTGTACCTTCATGCTACATGCATTTAGGACGAAAATTAAACGTAATATTTATGCGAATATGTTTATAATTAAATCTGAATTTTATATTAAACAGGATGAATACTTTTACTGTGAACAATACCCCCCCTCCTCATATAATGTCATAATTAATCTGTACTATTGTACTGCTAGTATTTATGTACGTAAAGATTCGTTAAAAGGAATAAAATTTCTGACGTGAAGACAGGTTTGTTGTAGAAATTTATCGAATTTAAATCATTTTTAAATCATTCTTTTATGGTGGTGGGTGTCATGCAGATTAATACAATTTAACAGTTAGACGAGAGAAGATAAATTTTATTTCTAAAAATAAATATACAAGATATAATGTTACAGGCAAAATCTCTTAATTATTTTTATATTGTTTACTATATGCAATGCATGTATTATAGCAATTAGGTTGAGATTAGCTATTTTCTGTTTTGGGTATTATCCCTACCTACTTAATATTAAAATGTTTAAAATATGATGAATATTACTAGGTTTTGATAGTTTACAATAAGTCAGGGATCAATTTAGAGAGACCGAGGTGCAGCATAACAAAATAATTGATTTTTCAGTTTTTAAAGTTTAGTTTGTATAGCAGAAAAAGATGAAGCATGTACAATAATCTACCAATATTTATATTCATTTTTTGTAAGAAAAAAAAAGTTTATTGCACTATGAGATGTAGGCGTCAGATAACATTTCTAATAGACTTTTTAAAAAATGCCTAACAAGGCAGTTCTTTTTGAATTAAGTGACAGGTTATCCATCTTAAGAAGCTCATATGAAGGAAGATATTCTAATGAGCATTTGTTCAGAATGTTCATTAGAAAATAAGAGATTTCTTAAATTTCCGAGTTTTTTAAAAGTCTTGTTAAATGAGTGTAGAAGATTTGTTGTGTATTTTATACATAAATGTTGCTTGATTGAAATCAGTCAAATCATTCAGCTTAAGGATTTTAATCTTAAAGAAAAGAGGATCGGTATGTAAAGCTGTTTTTTGCATTATCAATAATGCTAACTACACGATTTTGGAGCAAGCTAATTTTTTTCATTTCAGGACTTTTAATTTCACCCCTAGGCTGCAATTCCATATTCTACAAAAGAGCGAAATAATCAGTTATAACTAGTATGCCTAAAGTTACTTGGAAGTAGATTTCTTACATTTAATCATTCAAACACTGTGCTAGATGCTTTCTTTTTTACAGCTTTAACATGGTGATTCCAGATTAGGTTTTCATCAAGATCTTATAGGATTCATTTTTACAACCAGCACCTATTCTATCTATTTCCTTATTTTCGATGAAAAGTTTAAGTGAGTCACACACCAGAACTTTTGATTTCTTTCTGAAACGTAAATACTTTGTTTTACAGGCATTTAATGTCATGCAGTTTATTTGCTTTGAACCAGTCTGCAATTTTTGAAAGTTGAGAATTAGCAAAATTAGCAAAGGACTAGAGAAGGGATATTTATAGATTTCCTGCCCCTATACCCAAAACAGTAATTATTGTTTGCCAAGTTCTTATAATAATTTATTCTTTAAACTTGTCATGATAATATTTTATCCTTGCTACCCTCACTAGTCAGGTATCAACTGTACTCTTTAAATCTCATTTCAGTTTACAATATTATATTCTTTAAACTTGTCATAATAATATTTTATCCTTGCTACCCTCACTAGTCAGGTATCAACTGTACTCTTTAAATCTCATTTCAGTTTACAATATTATATTCTTTAAACTTGTCATCATAATATTTTATCCTAGCTACCCTCACTAGTCAGGTATCAACTGTACTCTTTAAATCTCATTTCAGTTTACTATATTATATTCTTTAAACTTGTCATGGTAATATTTTATCCTAGCTACCCTCACTAGTCAGGTATCAACTGTATTTTACTCTTTAAATTTCATTTTAGGTTTCAGGACAGGGTTTACTCAATTTTTTATAAAAAATCTGTTTTTATTTTTTCTAGAGATAATCGAGGCTTCCGACATCCAAGGACTGTATGGTTTACTCTTATTTGCAGAAATTATTTACTTTTTCAGGAAATGAAGACTTAAAGAGTTTTCTATAGTTTCCAAAAAAAGTTAAAGGAAGTTCCTTGATCAGTGTTCTGAAGAATGTCCCAGTTGAAGACCCAGAAAACTCTGGAATAGAAAGACATATAAAGAAAAGGGATTAAAAAGTCCATTGACAGAATAATGAACATGAAACACGGTGACACATTTTACTTAAATACCTGGTTTTTAAGATACTGATCAAATTTTGCTCTGAGACAACATCAAATATATGCAAGGTCGCTTTAATTGTCATCTTTTTACACGTATTAGAAATGGCTATGTACGGCTTACCTTAATCATGTTCTTTTCACTTTATTAGAAGCAGAAAACGTTTTAAAAATGTCAGTACTAGTTAGTATTGTGTCAAAAATCCATCTTGTAAAATTAGGTTGATAAGTGAATGTCGCATATTATTTAAAAGACGATTTTCGAGCCCTCTGTCACTTCGTTGACCACCCTGTATTAAAATCAGTAATAAGAATGTAAACAGATAATTTATTTCAAGTATTATTAAGAATACAGTTATACATTACAATTATAAATGAGAATATATACAGAAAATACATAACAGTTATAAATGAGAATATATACAGAGAATACATTACAATTATAAATGAGAATATATACAGTTAATACACTACAATTATACATAAGAATATATACAGTTAATACACTACAATTATACATGAGAATATATACAGATAATACATTACAATTATACATGAAAATATATACAGATAATACATTACAATTATACATGAGAATATATATACAGATAATACATTACAATTATAAATGAGAATATATATACAGATAATACATTACAATTATACATGAGAATATATACAGATAATACATAACAATTAAAATGAGAATATATACGATAATACATTACAATTATAAATGAGTATAATTACAGATAATACATTACAATTATACTTGAGAATACATACAGAAAATACATTACAATTATAAATGAGAATAATTACAGATAATACATTACAATTATAGATGAGAATATACACAGATAATACATTACAATTATACATGAGAATATATACAGAGACTACATTACAACTAAAACTGAGAATACATATTTGAAACATTACAATTTAAAAAAAGATACAGAAAATTTTAATTTCTTTCATCTATTCCGGATGTTTATAATAATAAAGCTAGAAAAACTAACAAATATTGAACAGAAAAGGGATTTATTTGTGTCTGAAACTGTTTAAAGTTTCCAATTACAAACCAATAGAAATAATCAGACGTATTAAAAGTCGTAGAGCAACTTTTATTTTAACTTTCAATGTTTTTCTATTTTTAAAAGTTCAGCTAAAAAACATAATAAGTAATAATTTCCTTAGATTATGAAAAACTTTGACCCTGAGATAAGATATATATATAACAAACCAATACCGATCTTTTTTTGGTTGTTTTTGACTTTGAAGACAAGTTTTACATATTGAAATAAAAGCTTATTTTACAGAATACAATTTAGTAGCTGCTCTTTTGATTCGGTAGATATGCAAAGCTAGAAAAAAGAAGAAGGTTAAATATATGCGCTATTTTTGGTACGACTTTGTGACCTCGTAGCTCCTTTAGTTTTGATTTTACGAGCAAGTATGAAAAAGTCAATTTGTTTGCTACATATTAGAAATTCAAAACATGTTTATTCTTCTCAATAGCTCTACAATAAAAGAAGTTATGATTGAAATCATATCAGTGTTCTATCTTATCTGCAATTTACTTAAGTTAAACATGGAAGAACTGGCCACCATGAATGACTTAATGGTTTATTTACCATGCACGTTTTACTTTCCAATAACATCACAATTTTCCTCTTAAAAAATTTTCCGATGCATGAAACCGTCATTATATATTAGATTTTAGATAAATATTGCAATTCTTCTAACAGTGTCCTTTCACATCAATTGTCCACTTTCGTTAAAGGGACTGTAAGGGTAATTTCCAGGGACCTTTCATACAAAGATGGCAATGCCCGATTCACAACCAATTTATCTGATCAATAATATGGAAAATATGGTCGTTTGTCTAAGATTAAAAGTTTCTATTTTCCATACTTAAATAATGTTTTAATGCAATAGAAATGCGCAAATTACTTTTGTGTATTAAAACCACAAATCAACTTTCCAAATTGTATGATATCTATAAATATGATTCATAATTAATCAGTCAAAGCTATATTAAAGGTAACCTAGTGGATCTATACCATTACCATCTTTGAATGGTGGGTCACTTAAAATTACTCTTACAGTCCCTTTAATGGAACTCTCTCCCACTAAACTAAGATTTGTGAATCAATTTCTTCCACTGAGTGACAAGATATTCAACTTCTTCCTCACTACTGAGAAACCGGAACCAAGGAAGCAGGAAAGAAAGAAACCTCCAGGAAGAGGTGTACATTTGGACTAATAAGGTAGCATGCTCTCCTCTCAGCCAGGGTATTCCGATAAGGAACTGAATCAAACTGATAAAGCACACGACTAAGGTTGTCAAAAGCCCCATGATATTTACTTGTTTTCGGGGGATGTTTTTCCGTAAGATTGTCACTTTCTCAGTTAGTTCCAGCGACATTTTTGGCTCCAAGCTCTTATGCTGCCTAGCAGCTGACGGCTGATCTTGTTCCAACATGAGAGCAGGAAAAAATCCAACTTTCGACCCAGCATGTTGGCTCTTGAACATAATGCAGGTTTCTTTCTCTAAACGAACAGTATTTCTACTTTTCAGTTCCGGATTTGATCTTGGATTTTTTAGTTTGTACTGTAATGTTTCTTCGAAAGATTCAATATCTTTCTTTTTTTCATTCTTTCTCTCCCAACATTTGCTGATAAATCCCCAGTTTGGGATTAAAATACATCCTCCTAGGTAGATTAAAGTATTTACAAGAAACATGCTCTTCGTCAGAATATAACTTGTCCTGGAGAATTCAAAGTTCTCTGATTCTTCAGCATCGTAAATCCCGTTAACGAGTGCACCTGTTATGTATAAATTTCCTGTGCACATGCATGAGCAGTCGAGATTCAAGCCTACTGTGATTCCAATACTTGATAATAGTACCATGAGCTGAACTTTCCATATAAACGCGGTAGTGTTCATGCTCATAAAGATGGA